GTGTCGTTCGGAGGTCTTTCGAGGCGTTTGGCTTCGGGAGTTTCGGTGTGCGCGCCTGTCTGGCAGCTCTCACGTCTTTGGCCCTCTTGCGGCTCGGCACGAAGCGCCGTGGTGGTTCAGTATTTCAACCGTTAGAGGGGGTATCTTCTCCTTTGGCATTTGTCTCTGACGCAACAACTTATGCGAGCTTGCGTTAAGTAAGAGGGTTAGTTGGGAGTTGGGAGTAAGTTGGGCGTAAGGCCCAGTGCTGCCCGTGTCCTCAGGGCAGTAATTCATTGCGCGCATTGCACTAATAAGATTATCTTGAATTTGTTGTTTAGCGCGTATGCATTGCTTATACTCACGCTGATCCTCCAATGACGACAGTGTAAGGTAAAGCCTAATAAATTAGCATCTTCATAACAAGAATCTGTCTTTCTTCCTCTATAATGGCGCAGCATTCATTCGCAGGCAAGCAGGGGAAAGCAGGAAAAGGGGGACTAGACGCCACCGGCAGTAAGTGGCCATCATGCAGGTGCATACACTGACATTATGCCTTGTCATTTTACATTCCAAGGACACGAGCAGGAGAATCGCAAGGAATAGGACAAGCGCAAGGATGGTGGTAAGGATATGAACAAGAGTCGGGCTCAAACGGCACGTGGCAGGCCACGAAGCGGCCGTTCGGAGGTATGAAGCCTCTGGTTGCAAGACCATGGCTATTAACTAAATGCTTTTTATTGCCTTATTTCGAGGCACGTTATGCCGGTGTCACACCTACAGCCGTCATTGTACGTAACATGCTCACAACTATGTGTTCCTGCCTAAACAATGATTTGTTGTGATCCTTTCATATGCAGATATATGCCGTCGTTCGTGAAGATGACATCAGCGGAGGCGAGGATTGAGCGCTTTAATAAGAAGACAATAGTGGATGTATTGTGGTACATTTACATGCGCTTAACATTTGTGTGTCGATTTTTTCTGACGTTAGACTGTTGGACCCTTTTCCATGGTAAGAGTTGCTGGCTGAGTTGCCTCGGTCATGTTAGGATTTGCTATGAATTCGTACCTGTCATTCAGGGATAGTTCAAATGTATGAAGAAAGCAGTGAGTGCTGTGGTTCACAGCTGTGAACCTGCAGGTCATGTGCAACGGCGGTGCACTTTGCACTTTGTACAGCTCGTGTACTGCTATTGTAAAGCTTTTGTATTGCACGGTTGGCCGTACAGTTCGCAGTCCCGCACGCAAGTCGCAGTCACTCGCGTAAAATTCAAATGGTAGCACATGCATTCGCAGGATTCGCAGTCGCGTATGCCATTCGCAATCCCTTGCGTTTGGCGATACGCTCGCGTTAAAAGTCACCCGGTCGCGTTTAGGGTAGCGTAAAACTCGCGAATTCATTCGCCACATTCGCATGTGCATACGCATTCGCACCATTCGCATGCGTATGCGTTACACCTATAGCTAAGCTAACGCTCGCGTTAAAAGTCACCTGGTCGCGTTTAGGGTCGCGTAAAACTCGCGAATTCATTCGCCACATTCGCATGTGCATACGCATTCGCACCATTCGCATGCGTATGCGTTACACCTATAGCTAAGCTAACGCTCGCGTTAAAAGTCACCTGGTCGCGTTTAGGGTCGCGTAAAACTCGCGATATCATTCGCCACATTCGCATATGCATACGCATTCGCACCAGTCGCATGCGTATGCGTTACACCTATAGCTAAGATAACGCTCGCGTTAAAAGTCACCTGGTCGCGTTTAGGGTCGCGTAAAACTCGCGATATCATTCGCCACATTCGCATATGCATACGCATTCGCACCAGTCGCAGCCGCGTATGCCATTCGCTTGCGTATGCGTTACACCTATAGGTAAGGTAACGCTCGCGTTAAAAGTCACCTGGTCGCGTTTACGATCGCGTAAAGTTTGCGTTAGTTTGCGTTAGTTGCTTAAGCTAACGCACTGCCAGCCAAAATTACTCAGCTCGTTCGCATGCGAATAAAGATGATGTGCGTTAGGCCATACGCACAAGCGAACCGGTGCGTTATCAGTGCTTAAGATCGCGTTACATCGCGTTAGCGTCGCGTTAAACTCGCGTTAAAGCCTCGTAACGCGAATTTAACGCGACTTAACGCGATCACCCGTCGTCATAGTGACAGCACCACCCACCATTACCACACTGTACTACGCCATACGAACTGGAAGTCCAAGGCGGATGATTCTGCCTTCTAGAATCCCTCCTCATCGTGCCACCTGGACATCCGTCGAGACCGAGGTTTCAGCGATCTCGCCACCAGTCCAGCATGCAAATCTCGGTCCATGAAGAGTGACCTCAATTTACCATCTCCGCAGCTAGCCATAATCTCACGATGCCGACAATGTCAGGGGTCTACCCAGGAATCACATACCCCGTAGGAGTTTGCCTGCCTATGCATTGATCATCTTGCTGGTTAAGCCTTGGTCCCTGGCTGCAACAGGTTGACTGCCGCAACGGGTCCTCCGTGCCGCCACTACAACGGTGTTGGCCAGATGGTGGCTTCGTAGTGGAGATGGCTGGTAACGGCAACCGCATTGACCCGTCCTCAGACCAGCCCATACCCACCAACACCGTATTCCTTCTTCAAAATGTCACCCTCCGGTGTGAACATCCCGTGAACATCACGTGCCTCACAAAGCCGCAGGCCGAGCCCCTGGTCTGCTTTCAGGAAACCAAGCGCCAGTTTGAGAATGTTACGACGTCTTTCTTAGACGACTACCGACAATATCCGCAGCTTCGGGCCCTTGATGGTAATGCCTCTTCACCACAAGTGAAGCAGATGCAGCGGCAGGACAGTGCACTGCCGGCGGCAAGCGGTACGGAGGAAGACCAGGCCCCCAGCCGTGCAGTGGTAGTAGGGGCTGTAGTGGCAGGTGGGTGGCATAAAGATTGTCTGGTGTAATTTCAATTTATGCTGGACAGGGCGGGGTGGGCAGAAAGACGGCGGATTGGAGGTACATGTGCATATTCTGCACATGCTGCATGCCAAAAAGGTGGTTCGAAATGTTGTGCAGGGAGCATGTTTCTTGCTCCTATTATTCAGGTTACGTTTCTGAATATATCTCTGGAAAAGCCACTCCTTGAGGACAAGGATTAAAGATCGCAAGGTTGCAGATCCGAATCCAAGATGGATCACAAATGGTGGGTTCGAGGCTGTCGCCGGCTGGTTATTGGCCCTGTGCCACGGTTAGATGCACAGCCCGAGATGTGCTCTTCATGGCACCTCCGAGGGTGCCTAATGGCGGCTGGCTTGAGTCCTCACCACATCCCGGCGGGCAGAGGCCTACCACGAGACGACGTGTACACATACAGACATGAGCTCTAAGTCATACACAGACATGAGCTCATAACCATGACCTGTTCATGCACGCAAACACAACACGTATGCAGGGACCGTGGTTACCGTGTCCCTAGTCGCGTTGATGGTGGCGGCTGCATTGCGCTCGAAGCAGCTGCAGGAATACTGCAAAGATGTTGGCGGCAGTCACGCGATCATGAACATTCTTTCTTTTTTGACGAACAACTTCGGTCACAGCTGCCTTGAGTTGAGAAGGTAAGGGAGATAGACTTGGTGTCACACATGCATACACAGAGACACACATGCACACACACACATATGCACCCAGTCGTCCCCACCCCCCCGCCATTCTTCTCCACTACAGCGCCGCGTGTTTATACGGGTTCTTGATATCACGCTTCTATTCAACATCTCCTTGAAAGATTTAAGCAATGTTTACAGTTTTCCATTGAAAGGTTATAAGACGTCGCTGGGCTACGGAGCTCACTTCGGTAAAGTTATTCTCGTGTACCCCCATCGGCACTTCCCTTATCGCGTCTCAGATCATTAAAACACATGCACATGCACGCTTTTGTGAGAAGCTAGCAACACATAGCCCTATTTGCGTAGTAGCTACGAGTTTGTGATACGGGATGACTTAAGGGGGAGCCCGCCCTAGATCACTAACTGGCGCAGTAGCAATCCTTTGTGTGGGGTGGTGTATTTGAGTCATGCCTTCCTAGCCGCTCATCCAGTCATAACAAATGCTGCTGGTCACCCATGTAAGCCGGCCGTCATGCTTGCACTTTTCCTTCATGCGACGTCTGCTGCTGCTAGCTCTCAGTTGTTCCATGCCCAGCCCCCATTGCTGTTGTATGTGACGTATGTGCGTATGTGTGTATCTGCCAACAGTTGCCCAGGCCCAGCCTCTCAGCTGAACATTACTGGTACTGCTTATGAGAACGGGAGCGGCGGACGCGGGGCCTCACTTGCGACCCCTCGTAACCACCTTCCCAAGTCAGGCGAGTCCGCCAGATGCTGGCTGCTGCCTGTCCATCCATCCAACATCTATAGCCGCATGGTTAATATGCCTAATCACTGCTGGATGCAACCGCTCACCCTTGCATGTCCTTCCCTGGTACGGCTATTCCGCTTACCCCCCTACTACTGCAATACCAGAAGTTGGAGCGGAACCAGGGGAAGTGCAACCTGGCGAGCAGGAGGAGGTGGTCGGCACCAGGCCGACCGTGGTGACGCATCTGGAACAGGCTGCTGTGGTCATTACCCTAGGCACGCGGCCACAACCCAACCTGGAGCTGCGTGTGCGGTTAGTGGACCCCGGTGCTGATGCTGAGGCTGGCGACAGCAGCAACAGTCCCACAGCAGGTGCCGTCACGGGTGTCGTACCCCTGCACTCGAAGGAGGAGGAGGTCAGCGGCAGTGGCAGCGGCAGTGCGGGTGGTGCTCCTCCCTGTACTGGTAGCAATGTGGTGGAGCTGTCCTCGGTGGTACGCGGCAAGGGCACCTTTGGTCGAGTGGTGGAAGGTACTTACCGGGGACAGCGAGTGTCTGTGAAGCTTCTGGCCAGCAACGGGCCCTGGGGTTGCCCCATCGAGGCCTTTGCCTCCAGCTTTGCGCAGGAAGTGCAGGTAGGGTGCATGGGGGTGGGCTGGGGGTAGGTGCGGCTGGGTTTGCTCCCCCCACGCCACGCATAACGTGCGGGCACGCGCACACCATGTCACTCCTCACAAGTCCGCTCTTGTAGTTAGCCAGATGTGTCCTGCAGTGGCGAAGTGGTGCATGCTACTGGTGCACTACAGTTCCTGACAGTGACTTCGTACATCGCCCTTCATCCATACACCTAGGTGCTGAGCCGCTGTTATCACCCAAATGTTGTGCGATTGCTGGCGGCCTGTGTGGAGTCGCCGCGGCTATGTTTGGTTCTGGAGCTTATGGAGACTTCTCTGGATTGCCTTATGTACGGAGACCCGACAGCCCCGCCAATGCCGCTGCCGAAGGCAAGCTAGTACACCATATATATGATGACGTGTACATATGTCGAGATAATTGCACCAGAAATGGAGCTGATAGTCGACGTTGGGTGCAGGTTGGTAGGTGGTAGGTGAAGAGTTGTAGTGTTCCTTCACGCGCTCACCCTCCTGCCTGTCTGTGCATGGTTCGGGTGTTCATCCCATGCCATGCCGGCTGCCTCGGGGCGCTTTTGTGCAGCCTGAGGCCTGCACTTACTAAACATGGTAAGGATCATGAGAGATAATGGGACCATTGGCCGGGCCTTGTTGTGCATCCGCCCCAACAAGCCTCAGCCTCAGTGACGACCTAACCATTGTTAGGTATCTCCACCAAGGACACGGGAAGCTAAAACACTGCTTCTGCCACGACTAACCAACCAGGCAGGGCCCTGCACGCACGACCCGGGCGCCTAAGTGTGCCCGCATCCATCCGTGTCCCACCCGCTCCTGCTGCTGCTGCTGCTGCTGTTACCCCATCAGGTGCTTCATATCGCCATATCCATTGCCAACGCGCTGGCCTACCTGCACCCCACCATCACTCACCGAGACCTCAAGGTATGGAGTCGTACGATTGTTTGTAACTTGTACATGTCAATGTCGTTCGTGTAGCGGCTAGCTAGCCAGTTGTCAGCGAATGATGGACATCTCGCGCATTTAGGTGTATGTGGCTTGGGAAATTAGGAACGATTCAGCTCGAAGCTACTCGACCCGCTCGGTGCCTCCGCCTTCGCTGCACCCCTCCTTCCTTCCGCTACCTGATACCCCCTCCTCTCGCCCTTGCCCTCGTTCCACTGGTGCCTCTGATGTGCCGCTGGGGTATGGGCGGCGTGGAGTGCATCCGCTCTTGGTGCTGCATGTGGCTCATCCCTGCCCTCCCTTTGCCCTCCCTTCCCTGTACCTTCTGCCTGGCCTTCTCGCACCTATCAGCCTGCCAACGTGCTGCTCAACGACCCCCACAGCGACCGGCCCACAGTTAAGCTTGCGGTACGTGACTCGTCGTAAGTTGAGGAACTGAAGAAAAAGAAGCCAGGTACAATGTGGCCCATTCCATTTGGCACCTGCAATCGATTCAGCGGAGGTAGCCCCACTGCATCTTATAGTTATGTGTGTAGACGTATGTACCCCCAACTGGTCAGTTGCATGCCGTATGAAGCTGCCGTACCGTAACTCCATCGATTCCTGCAGGACTTTGGGCTGTCGCGGCTTCGTGTGACGGTGGCTCCAACGGAGCATCCGAATGCGGGCACGGTGAGTGGGCGGGTAAGGGTAAAGTGAAAGAGGCGACAAGGACCGCAGGATTGAGGAAAGGTAGGCTGCCAGGACGGGGGCAGTGGAATCACACACTCCAAATACGACAAATTGGTGCCCTATGGTGGAACTAACTGTACTCGGCTTCACAGTAGCTCAGGAAACCTTATAGTGAGCATCTATCTACTCCGGTGTGTGCGGCACTTCTGATGGTCTGAAATGTAACAACCTCACCATAAATTTATGGCAGCCAGCACGGCATGGCCAAGTTTCGTAGGCTTCTTTAGCTGCTTTCAGTGTCCGCGGTGGTGGTGATGGTGACAGCGTCCATAGTTTGTGCACGTAAGCGCCGGCCAGCCATTCCTTTCTACCAAACTAAAACCTCCTATCATCATCCACTCACCTCCCTCATCAACAATCGCCGTACGTTCACGACACTCGACCTGGACCGGGACTGCTCGTCCATTCAGCCCGCGTACATGGCACCGGTGAGTTCATTCACCATGTTGGGGTTATTCATCATTGATGCCATCGGGGCTGTGGCTGGGATTGGGCGGGGTTTCCTTTCGTCAGCTGTTCATTGGCTGCTCTGCTAATGGCTTGCTGGTTACCCAGTTATTTTACTTGTTGATAATAGGGAAACTGGCTAGAGTCCTAGATGACCATTGCCTTGTGGCCCCTGAAAAGCATTGGGTCGGCCTCTGTATGTAAGCCGAGTGTGAATGTATGGCTGTATGGATTAGGGAGGTATGGGTGCATCTGCCCCTACTACAGCTACTCTGACGGATCAATGGCGGCGATAACTCTATTCCAGACTCTTAGGCCAATGGATTTGGGTATTACGCCATCAATTAGCAGGAGGGCACATTCACCTGGCGGACCAATAACCTCTACACCCCGACACCTTTATACGCGCCTTTGTTTAGGCGGAGGTGTAGATTCAAATTGTATTAGATTTGTTATATGCGTTTCTCAGTTACCTAGTTGGTAATAGGAGAACTGGCTATGATTATGAATGCCTTGCATGTGGTTGGACACTTTAAGCCGAATGTGAGTGTATGTATATATGCATGCATGTATGTATGTATGTATGACTTAGATTGCACTGTGGGCCGCGAGAGCCGGGGGCCGAAGCCGAAACACAGCGCAAGGGTCGGGAGCACACAGCATACATATGTACGTATGTACGTATGTATGTATGTATGAAGGCATGCTTTTCCATTCCATACCTTCTTTACGTAAAAGCATCTCGTCATCTATAGGTCGTGCCCTGGTATAATAGATAGGGATCGTCCGTTTCTACTATACCAGGATGCCAACTATAGACGACCAAACGTTTTGAAGACGCTGTCTGCACCTGTTTACCCAAGCCTGCCTATGTCTAGGTTTCTCTATCTGCCTGCGTCATACCGAACCCTTGGTGCCACACCCGCCCTTGCTGCTGCACATATGCACGTACACAGGAGTGCTTCGACTTGCAAAACCGTCAGGTCACACATAAAGCGGTAAGGGAGGGATCCAGTGAAGGCGTGCGGGAGAGAGGCAGGGCAGATGAGGGAACCCACTGACATACTGCGGTGTGGGAAGGTGTATCTCGTATCACAGATGCAGGGAGCTAGCAGGCTGACGATTTACGTGCCCTGAGTCGACAAAACCAATCACCTGGGCTACCTAACTAGCAAGTGGCCTGCAGTACATACCGTTTTTGTGCTTATCCTGTGCGCGGGTCCCGCAAGCAGGCAGGCTAGGCCGCACTGTCACTGCCACAACCTACCCAGCCCCGTCATCATGGATAGTAAGGCAAGCAAGCAATGGCTGGCATCTCCGCATGGTCAGTGTATCCCACGTCTCTCGTCATGACGCCGTAGCCTTCATGTTTATGTGTGTGTCGTGGTGATACTGACACCGATGGCCGCCTAATAGCTGTGGCCTCCGCCCTCACCACGCACCCTGCTGCGCCCTCACCAGGACATGTTCGCGCTGGGTGTGCTGCTGTGGGAGATGCTGGCCTGCGAGAGGCCCTGGCCTGGAATGAGCCCGCTGGAAATCGGCCTGCTGGTGGGTGCAGGCTCGGGTTCATGACTGATGGTGATGGTCTGATCACGAACAGTCTCATGGCTGCAGTGACATGCTGTGTGAACCGGCCGTTTAACTGCTGCTTTGGACCGCTAGCTCTCCTGCTGACCACCTGGTCTGGCAGGAGCCCTGCAAGTGTGAAGACATGTACGGAGGTTCAATGCCCCCCCATGCTAATACGCAACAGTCAAGTGGACTGGCGTGCACGGACATCTGGGACCCCGCAGGACGGGCGGCAAGGTTGGAGGTCCTCTCTCTGTCCTGGGTTTCCATCCAGCAATGTATTCGGGAAGTCCCAGCCTACTCAGCGTGAATATGTGTCCGCATATGCAGGTAGCGTTCAACGGTATGCGCCTTTCCCTGGATGAACTCCTGGCCTCCGAGCGCTGCCCATCCAAGCTGGGTCGTCTGCTGCTAGCCTGCTGGGAGACGGATCCTGACCGGCGGCCAGCGGCTGCAGAGGCAAGCAAGGAGCTGGCGTTGATCCTGGTCAGTAGTGAAAAGGGGCGGATGAGCGAGGCAAGTTCGACATACATAGCTGGGAAGCTGCAGGCAAAGGAGGGGCCGGTATTGTGTGTGGTCATACAGTCGTTTAGTCAGCAGCCACACTTCGTGCCTGTTTCGTGTGTAGCCATTGAAAACCGCATGAGAGATCTTGGGTTATCCTGCACTGATTTTGGTGTTTGATTTGTAGGTTTAGGTAGTTGCGGGCGCCTGTAGAGGGAAACAACAAACAAGCTAGCAAAGGAGGTCACCGCGAGCAGGGGGCCAGGGATAGTGCTGCATGACCATAGGCAGATAAGTTGGAAGACAGATCCTGGTCGGAAGTTGTGGCTGTTTTGTGTTGTCGGCTGTGTATTCGTCTTATGCGAGCAACAGGCACATAGTAACTTTTCCTTCTGCCATATGGCTAATTTATTCAGGGCTTTCTGTGGCAATTAGTTTGGGCCTACCGATCTACCCACCAGGCCCCGTACCAGGCTTGTAGCTCGTCGACCGTGCGTTGTATGCGCGCTGTATTGTGCCGCCGCTGCACCCTGGTTGCCTTTCCACTCCACATAAGTTCCCTAACACACATGCGCCGCGCATGTCCTTCCCTGCATGCATTCACATACGTCTGTATGCCTCCTCAGCAACTTCAGCAGCAACCGCAGGAACAGCAGCTGCAGCCACCATCCCTGGTCAACCCGCCTGCCCTGCAGCAAGCTCGGCAGCTTCAATGCAATCAGCAGCTGGCGCGCGGACCGCAGCAGTCCAATGTCCGGGCACAGCTCACGGATACCAGCGAGGTGGACCTTTGGGGTGATCCCTCATCTTCCAATTCATTCCCACAAACAGGAGGAGCAGCTCGAGGAGCAGCAGCAGCAGTGGCCTAGGCTAGCTGCGGCAGACCAAGGGCGGCTGCAGGAGGGTGGAATTTATTCAAATTGCGCGCGCAGGCGCCAACTATGTGCGCATAATCGTAAATGTTTTCTTCTATTCTTGAATCACTTGGAAGTGTATTAGCTGGGTCCATAGATCCTGGCTGGCTTGCTCGCAAGTGCATGGTTGCATCTTTCTAGGCTTGGGCTTTTCCGGCCGTTACGTACGTGTCTTGTGTATGTGATTCATATCCGCGCCTCTGCGCCATTCTAAAACCGAGAATTAATTACCGCGCGTTCTCTCTCCTTATACCCTTCAGGCGCCTATACCACCGAATTTGAAGGAGCGGAACTGACGAGCTGCTTTGGCAAACCGCCACATATTAGTCCACGGCGGCTGAGTGTCGGATGGCTGGCGCACAGCGGTAACTACCGTGTCATCAGATAGCACTACTGTGTTGACCAACTGGAAGAAAATGTGTTTATACGCGTGTGTACCGTAGTGCTACTTATAGTTCGTGATCGCTTTGTTCGGGGAGGGGTCAAAAAACTTTCTGAAATTTGTACGTGCTCTTTGAATTTCGGGGAAGGCCGGACCAGATTTTGCGGGCATGATACAAATTTTGGGGCCCCTTCCAAAGTTTCGGGGCTTTTCAAACTGCAGCTTCCAGTCAGTCTCCCTCCACCGGGAACCCTTAGGCTCATGGTCTCTCACAATTTTCGCACTTTGGAAACGCCCTAGCAAATTCTGGACCGATCGTACAGTTCAGTACCAGTGGCAACGACCTAATAACCAACCGGCCGGGCCAATACAGTGTTTGGGATTTGTTGAAGAGGACGTCCAACAGGTCGAATGCCAGGCTGCGGCGTGAGCGCAAGCCTCGCCGGCTGCCGTAGCATTGACCGCATTGCGCTCGCGCCTAGCAACCTCCTCGTGCTCCATTCGCTCACGCTGGGCCTCGACAACAGCATCATCAAGCCTAACTGGTGCAAATCCAGCTCGGTCGCTCACCGGAGCGTTTGGTGCTAGCGGTTTCATCCCGCATTGAAGCAGGGTTGCCTGTCTTGCACGTTTTCCAGCGTTGTTCATGTCCTACGTTTATGACTATATTTTATGTATTTAAGAGCTGATTTCCGCCTTGAAATCCTAGTTTTTGCGAAGTTTGATCGACCGGCTTCGGAGGGTACGATATTTCGGGGCTGCGGTCCCTTGGGATACCTTAGATTTTGTACGTGCTACATATTCGTGGTGCCTCCCGAATTATTGTAGCACGAACTATAAGTAGCACTACGGTACGAGCATTGATCAGAGCGTGAATGCGTGTCAGCATTGGCTCCGTCGCTTGGAGAGACACGTGTACATTAATCCCCCGTTTGGATTGCGTTCTGGCGATAGCCTTCAGGGCCTGTTTTTTCGGCGTTGTGTCGAGTATGAGGCCCGCCGTATCAGGCAGGCAGTGCTTCTCCTCAAGGCAGCGGTGGGCTATGCGTGGTTCGATGCAGTGCTGAAATGGCCGCTATGTTTTCTGCGCAAACGTGTGTCCTTTGTACGGGGGACACGTAATAGGGGCACAAGTGTGCAGGACTCAGGTCTGTCCTGGGGGCCGTGTGTAGGAAACCCGCACGGCAGCGTTGTGGTTTACGTAGGCCCTGACGTTAAACGGTTTGCGTCTGTTTTTGGGCGGATGGGGAACATTCCCGGTGCGACGTCCTGGTGTATGCCTCGTATGGATGACGAAACTGTTGTTGTTTAGCCCAAAAACCTGTACCATACAGTTACCTAGACATTTATCTGTAAGCGATGCACGCATCGTGGAAACATTTTTTTGTGGTAGTCAGTGGCTAAGTACGACACGTTGCATCGAACTGACAACCTGCCGAACCGATTTGAAGCCTGGGCCAGCGGTCCACCTTGTAACCTCTCAAAAAAAGATGGGGCGCTTCCTGGCGCTTAGGGGCGTTTCCGCCGGGGCCACCAGCGGCGGCGTGGCGTTCGTTTGGGCGGGTCGGCCCATGCATAGCGATTGGTATTATACTGATACCATCGTGTACACCGAAGCATGGGCGAGTATGAGACTCTGTAAGCGTTTTTTGCGAGAAGCCCCGCGCGCATCTCAGTACATAAGGAAGCGTAACTAGATAAATGTAGAGCACCCAAATTGCATATCGGGATATGCCATACATTCATCAAGGTGAAATTTCGGACCCCGCGAACCCTCATCTGGCAGCCACCGAGCCTCATCTAGCTGTCCCGAAGGCGGCCGGGCGCCTCATCTAGCTACCGTCTTTTCTCATCCAGCTGGCCAGAGACCCCCCCTTCAACTTCACTTAGATATAAAAGGACCCCCTTGTCGCGATATTTAAATGCCGTTGCGCTGGTAGCTTGCGCCAGGACCCCAGCCTCATCTTCCCGCTGTTCATACCCTCCTTGCATGGTTGCATCTTTCTAGGCTTGGGCTCTTCCGGCCATCACGTACGTGTCTTGTGTTTGTGATTCATATTGTATACATTATATATTATATATGTGCAATGCTCAAAAAAGATGTGTGTGGGAGGCGCGTTGGCGCCCTGAGCCGTATTTTAAGAAGGGTTTAGCTCTCTGAGCATCTCTCATTAGTACTCTTTGGCGGGTCTCTGGTGCGAATTGCTAAAAGTTGGGAACACCTCGGATCGAAAACGGTCATAAACTTAGCGCTCTCCAGGCACGATGTAATACTCTTTGCCCAAAGACGGATTCCCGGGTGGGCGAGAAGTCTACCAGCTGAGTAAATAATAAAAACCTCCATCTCGGAGGGGGACGGACGAAATGTCATAATAACAAATAAACTCACAATTCTACGGGATATCAATCAACCATAATTCTACGGGATATGCCCGGGGGCGCCCGAGGACGTTCGCTCGAGGAATGTTAGAAGGGTTTAACTCTCTTGGCATCTCCCAGAGTACTCTTTGCCTTGGTGTTACAGCAGGCCCTAGGACACCAGTACACAAATGTACGTACACATGCATATCAGTCTAATAATATTGTTTGCTGCTAATCATTCACGATAAGGTCTGAAGTCACATCCCACACCAGCAGCAGCACCAGTTGATGAGGTACTCTAGCGACGGCTGGCACTGTGATTTGCATCCGTGGCCCCTGCTGCTCCATTCTTTTTCACAGCTGCAGCTGCCTCTGCTGCTCCTGCCACACACAGGCCATACACACCAGTATCAATTTGTTGTAAAGCAGCCGCGGGGGTTAAAGGCTTTACCTTCTTTGATGGCCCCTTACCAGACTGCCCCACCAAAGGCCTGTTACCACTAGGGTGCGTAGCACATGGTGGTGGACGCCTGCGCTTTACTGCCACCCCCTGCTCCTCCAATTCCCCCTCCGACCCATCCGATTCACTCTCCTTCCCCTGCTCCGCCTCCACCTCATCCTGAGCTACCCCTCCCCCCTACCCCCCGAGTACGGAGGTTAGGTATCCTATAGAGCAAATGTACAGCCATACCAGATATGTATCGTCATGTCATTTCGACCTTATGGCTATCATTGCAGTAGTGTGGCCATGCCTGGTTACTAGGGTTTTTAACTTCCTTAGATGGAAATTTTATCTCAACTAAACTTCCTTAGAAACTAATTAGGTTTAGTTGAGAAGTTTAGAAATCTCAACTAAGGTTTCGGCTACTTTCTGGCGGAAGGGTCGTTTAGGCTGAAACTTAGGAATTAGAATCCCCATTTGCTGCTTATTAACGACAATTCAATAGTTTTGCGCTGCGTTGAGTGTGCGCAGCGAAAGGTGCTCAGTTGGCACACGGGGCAAGGGACCCACGGGACACCACCGCCTGCAAGCCACTGCACACCCATGGAAACGAGCATTACATAGCAAGTAGCAAGCCCCTAAACGCTCCAAAGAACACAGCGATTGGCAAACTGCTGAACTGCACACCACAACACCAGGCACCACGTGCCAGTCGGTGTACCCCGCCGCCCATTACACACACGCGCTCTTCTCATCCTCTGCAGCCAGCAGAGTCATCACCATAATAAAACCGATGCACTGACTGGGATGCTTGAATACACCGGCGGTGGGGTCCGTAGACTGCTGGGAGGAAGACGAAATTGCGTCCTTATGATAGCTTGCCAGATGCTGTGGGGCCACTGCTGAGGGATTGGTAGCGCTGAGCTGGGTGGGGCAAAACGCGCAGGCCAGCTTCACTGCGTTGTTTACCAGCACAACGTTGAAGAAAGCCCACCAGGAAGCACGGCTATTTCGCTTAATGTCTTTCAGCTTCTCGTAAAATTCCCTGGCCGAGTACTCCTTGCCATTGTAGGTGTAAGTATCGCGCTTGCCCTTCGGCGGCTTGCCAGAGGCTTCACCGACGTCAGCCATTGGGAATGTAACTCAGTAACTACTGGATGAGTCCTCAGACAGCTTCATCTAAAGTTTCTCAGGACTACCTAAGTTCTCTCCTAAGGTTTCGGAGCTGCCGTACAACTAAGGTGCCAAAAAATTCCATCTAATATCTCAGTTTAGTTTCTAAAGTTTCTCATATAAGTTTAGAAGTTTAGGTTTAGATGACTTCCAACCCTACTGGTTACCCATGATGGTTACGGGAACCGAGGACGGTTACTGGCTAACGGTCGATACGGTAATCCTACCGGCCCAGTAACTGAGGTACGGTGATCTCGGTGACGGGGCAACTGGGTAGGGTGACAACTGGGCCGGAACCGGCCTGGTGTATGCCATAGGGTGAACATATGTTCCCCTGCATGAACAATCATATGTGTTAAGGAGGTGGGCGCATGGCATCAAAGGCCTCCTTGGGGCTCACACGCACTCATGAATGCCTTTCTAGGCAATGGTATCGCTGGCGAAGGTTTAAGTAATTCATGCATTCTTTTTTTGTGAATAGTTCCTAGTTTCTGAATGCATTGACCTGTAGCGGCGCTCTTTGGGGTTCTCTGTTACCTGTGTGACCCACGGGTCAGATTGCCTGTAGTGGCGAGTACGACCATATTTCCCACGTATTGATATTTTTGAAGGTCCAAAAAAAGCTCCTTATCCGCCGCTGAAGAGCTGCAGGGCGGAATCGACGTGCTGGGTTCAGCTGCTACTGTACACGAGCAGTCAGTTGCACAGTGAGAGCAGAAGGGAAGATTCGATGCACACCAGCTCTTCTGTCAGCAGTACAAACTGGGATCATTTGGAGCAGATACACGTGCTATTGCACCCTCGCTGCTGATCTTTTTCACACCGGATTTGCTGAATGCATGGGCATTCTTGGAGCTGTGCATGCGGGAGCTGCCTCAGACAGCAAATCGGCCAGGAGCTGCCATCAGGGTCGCAGATGCACCAGATCTGATTAAGGATAGAGTTGCATCCAGGTGTGCACATGTGCTGGATGAAGTTGTCGGCATAGCAAAGCCGATGAGTTTCGTCGATCGGACACCTTCGCCCACCCCAAACCCCAGCAAGACATGTACATGTACAGCACGACATGCTGGGTTCACGTGTGGACTGGGTGCATGCAAATGGGGACGGTGATGGTCGACTGCAGCAGTGGTGCAAAAGCCACTGAAGTGCTGGATGCAGCTGTGGATTGCCATGGTGATGTTGAGGACAAAGCCATTGGACAAGTTGCGGGTGGCCACAACCCCGTGAACAGCAGACATGATGGCTGTGCAGCTGCTGTGCTCCTTAAAAGTGCCTCGCTGCCATGTGGGTCGCCCACCAGGACGTTTGTTCCGTCCACACAGTTGGGTGCTACCGAACTTCACGAGTAGCTGGCCATGCTGGATAGCTTGCATTGCTTTCCGCTTGAGTGCCCATCCTGATCGTCAGCTGCACTGCCTAGCCTGTAGGGCTGCCGGGAGTGAAATATTGCATCTTTCCTGTTCGTATTTTAATATCATATGTCTCCGAGCGAGAACCAATGGGCTTGGTTGGCGTCCTGGTCGGTTTGCTTTCCCGCACAGTAGTGTTGCATACACGATACCATGTGTTCTGGTGAGGTGCCGTGCCTCACATGTGTGCCCACCACCGCGGTCGTACTCATGTTGGCGTGGGATAAGCAAGGACGACGTGCTTCGTAGCAAACGGGCATGTGTAGGAAAAATACGCTGTTTGGCGTCATATGTTCCTAGGGCTGAATTTCACATAACGTTTGGAGGAGCGTGCAAGCGTAAAGGGATTGAACGCATTTGTGCGCCATGGGTAGCCAGGTTCGCTGCTTTGATTTGCGTGATCGAGTTGCGGGATGCGCGAGATGTGACCGACTGCAGCAGTGGCCGTTGTATATGGGCGCTAAGTGTCATCCAGAGGTACAACGGACTTTATAGTTACCTGTATGCAAACCTGCCGGGGCACCCGGAAGAGGGCCGGAACCGCCTAGCTCACTATCAGTACGGCAGGTTCCATAGCTTTTCCAGCCGCTCGTGTAGTCCTCCAGTCTGTAAACTAAACAACAATGCCAGATGGGGAATCTGGTCTGCTGATCACGTAGGAAGTCGAGAACCTGAAAATCGTGTTGATCCGCGACATCGGCACTTGCTGTACCCAAAGCATACCTTAAGACGTTACAATTTGTTGGGTCTTATCACAAAAAAAATCATGGGTCATGGGACTATAAATTGACGCGCATCTGGCTGCAACCCGACGCCAAATTGGCGCAAGTCTTCGCGAAGGGATTGTCTATGTACTTCATTTGCAATAAAGGCTACATCAAAGAAGTGGGAGTTTACCCTAAGCTATGTAAAGCGCGTAGAAAGCATTTGTGGCGTTTGCCTGCTTATAGGTGCACTACGAGTCCGCGGTGCATGACTCCTTTGTACTGGAGGTATGCGGCCTAATGGTGGTATTATGTAGAGCTCCCCTGATTACAAATATGCAGCAGTTTTTTATTCCCAAACTTTAGACATTCTTACGGGGAGTTCGCAAGGTCCCCGTTTACGGAGGAAAGCCGCCCCCGGCCCTAAGAAAATCTGTTGCCGGGGATGCCAGCATAGCTCAATGACATCAATGAAATACGTGCATTAAAGACCTCAAATTTATCAAGTTACTTTATCATCAAAGTGTCTCTCATATAAATTTTAAAGTGTTATACTGGATTCACATGCTACGTTACGTTGCGAAAACTTTTTTGGAAAAGTGGGCCTGAAAAAGTCACCCAGTTCACATGGGACATTACGACGACGTTGTGTTCGTTGGCGCGAGCTGTGTAAACCATCTCCATTTTATGTCTTTCAATGGCCAAAACTTCAGCACATCCCCTTAGAATCGCAATATATAATTGACGGGTTATTGGCAGCCCTGCCTACAGCAATGGCACTGCATCCCGCGCGAGCCGCGATGGCGTTTGCCCTAGCGGCCGCTATGGATGTAATTTTTGACAACCTTGAGGATATGTTCAATTCTCAATGGCAGTGCTTGCGCGTTTGGGCCGACGCGGCGCGGCCCATGCCGCCGGAAGTGCAGCCGACTTGCCATTTCGCGGATGGCTTCAGCCCTGATACTACAATGGGTTACATATTGGCTATGTAAGGGGTCGTGCGCGGGCGAGCAACACGAGCGGCGTTGTCCTTGTTCATTTTCCAAAATAAACTGCAGCGGTGTGACTAGAAATTCGGTCGGAGTGCAAAGCGCGCACAATTTGTCAAATATGTGGTCTTTATAAGCGATTGGGCTTGGCTGTTTGTTATAACTCGCGAAATTGGCGACGCAATTCAGGTAACGGTACGAGGGGTCGAAATTCACCCCCCCCCCCGGGTCACTTTAGACTTTTCGTCCACTTTACCGGTAACGTACCGTTACCATGTCCGAACCGACCACTTTTCCCAAAAAGTCTTAACGTAACGTAGCATGTGAACTGGCTAACCAAAAATTGGGCCACTCATTCGTAATTGCTACCTTGGGCCGGTGAGGGCCCCCGGCCGGGTAAACAGTAGGTCCTCACTCTGGTCCAGAAAGAGCAGGCAGGGTGACCCAGGAATCCCTCCTTCTGCATATCAACACCTAAGTTGAGGCACTCAGAAAGTCACATACCAGGCAGCTGCCTGCCCCTGTTTCCAAGGAGAAGGTAGCCCCGTCACTGCCGTTATTTCAAGTGTTGCGGAATGTTGCAATGCCCGGATAGCATCCTATGTGGCCATGTGCATCCGGTGGCAAAAATACCAGCACAGATACTGACCTGCTACTGCGGCTTTACCAGAGCAAAGACCACGGCTTGCAAGCCGGGCATTGCAACATTTTGCAACACTTAAAATAACGGCAGTGACGGGACTACCTTCTCCTTGGAAACAGGGGTCAATGAGGAATGGATGAATGCTGAAAAGCGTTCCGGAGGACAACAGTTGAAGGCTTCCGGGTGAGCACCGTACAGCAGAAAGGAACCGTCATCCTGTTCCTGCTCGTCAAAAAGAACCAATTGAATAACTGTTGAGCTGTAGACAGATTCATGCACTCAAACGCACGTCATACTCGCTAGCTTCAACCGGCGCCCGCCAGGTCAGCGAACACGCGTAGTGCAGCGAGCGGAGGTAGATTCTGCACGGCAAGGGCAATCCAGGGATGTAGCGGCCTCGGTTAAGGTCAATATTATCTTAGAATCAGAACTAAATGTCCTTTGATTCGTCGCAAAAGAGTTCCCACCAATAATTGCTTTCGCATCCCCAAAGGAGGTAGAAGTAGGCGTAACGCTTTGCATCCCCGCTATGAGTATTGAACCAATATGAGAACATAAGAAGTATCCCGTTATAATTTTATCTTGGTAGATAAAGTTTGCGTTTGCACTGTCAGGTGACCGACTGCTGGCACTACACAAGGGAAAGTTCTTTCAAATACATAGCTTCCGGAGCAGATCATTGCCATTTTCATTAAAATTGTTAATCATTATCTCATACGGCGGGATGCAACCTTAATTAATTGCCCTGAAGCACCTCCGGTACGGACGCGAACCCAATATCCTGGAAGAAAGACCCTGCGGCAGGCAAAATGTCAAAATAAGGATATTTCTTACAGACTGCATTCAAGTACCGCCACGTATATTGACGGTGTCCTGCGATAACTGTTACTTGCAAGCCGTCCCCTAAAAATGAACATGGCGGAGGACTCGGCACAACAAGTGTTCATAAAGTATGCGAGCATAGGAAAAAAGGGGGTAGGTCATGTATAGCATGGCCTCTACTGGTAATATGCAGGCTACATGTCGCATCACTATGGTTGCTTGCTACTGACAATGCAGATAACACTGGCAAATGCAACACTTGATGGAGCTAAATTTGCAAAACTTTGCCGGGAAAGTAAGCTTGTTGGAGGCGCCCTGACTCCCATGGACGTAGAAGGCATTTACCTGCGTCTATCTAAGGGATTCGGGAGATTGGACTACGAACGTGAGTGTTATACATCTGTTTCTGTTGAGCTAGCTAATTCGCTCTTTCTCTGCCGCACCTTCTTGGTCTGCCGTCAAAAGCCCCCAAACTCTCGGCGCTTCGCCTACCTCCTCACGCACATGCTGTCACAACTACATGCGCTTTAGGCACTCGCAGCTCATCCCAACACAATCTTCGTTCCAGTAATCTTAGATGCACTAGGGCCCCATTCTGCGGCTTCCTCGGCTTTTAAATCCTCGGAAGCTTGGTTCCACGCCCTAGCTAGAGTGTGCTTTTTAACTGCCACCTGCAAACTTCAACCCCGACCCAAATCAGTCCGACTAAAACCCTGACATTGACCCAAACCCTAGTCATGACCCCGAACCCGAACCTGAATCCGGATCCGAACCCGAACCCGCAGATTTTTTGAAAGCGCTCGGCGAGATTGCAAACATCAAAAAGGTCAGCTTGGACGCCCTCCTTAACAGGCTGGCGGAGATGGACTCAGTCAGCGGCGCCGCCAGATCCGCGGTGCCCGCTGTACGACATCTCGAGGACAGGGTGGGTGTGCTGGGTTGCTATCGGCATTGCCATGAGCGCGTGATGTTGCGCTGTATGTATATACCCCTCCTCTCTATGAAAAGTGTGAAGCGTAGGCGTGGGAAGGAGGTGTGGGAAATACTGAAAAAGAGAGCTAGAGAAAGAGAGAGATTGGCAATCCCTTTTAATTGCACCGGATATTCCCATGCACCTGCCGGGAGCGCACCCATGCCCGCATTTTTCTCATCTATCTATATGCAGTATTCCTTCCGGCAACTGCATGTATGCCGCTCACCATTTCAACTCTTGCTTGAACTCTCCAACTAAACCCCTCCCGCCTTCCCAAACCCCCAACTACAACCCCTGGTTGCTACCTAGACCTGAATCTCCCCAACACAATACCCCGGGGCCCACTCCCCCACCTCCTATACTGCGTCCAAAGCTCCCGCCCTTTCTTCTCGCCTCGCCTCTGTCTAGTCCCTCCACTCGTGGCCCTCACGTAATGACCTCCCCACCCATCACACTCCCTCCTCCACAACCAACCCCCATTTCGCAACAGAGGACTCTGACCGGCGGGGCACAGCCCCGACTGTCCAGCGGTCCCCGACTATCCGGAGCGACCTCCAGACTGCCAGGAGCCATTTCCGGACCCTACTAGGCCTAATTTGGGCCAACTGGCAGACGGGATTTGGGGGGACGGCGATGACGAGCAGACGAGGGCGAAGGGGGTGAAGGCGACAGGGCGATGGTCTGGAACGCTTTGAGTCGTTTGGGTAATTCGGTGTGGGTGTGAGGTGTGGGTGCAGGGGCTCACAAAGGCGGTGAGTGGGTTGGGGGTAATGGTGGTGGTGGTGGTGATGGTGGTGATGGTGGTGATGGTGGTGATGGTGGTGATGGTGGTGATGGTGGTGATGGTGGTGATGGTGGTGGTGATGGTGGTGGTGATGGTGGTGGTGGTGGTGATGGTGGAGGTGATGGTGGTGGTGATGGTGGTGATGGTGATCCGGAAGAAGGTTCCGGCGGAAGAAGGTTCCGGCGGAAGAAGGTCGAAGGGGAGGGAGGGAGGGAAGGAGGAAAGACGTCCCACTACATGCCAATGTGATGGGACACATCACTGCCCCGGCAGTGATGTGGATCCACGGAAGGCCGAGGGGGATGTGCGCCCTCGGCACCTTGGTGGCTGCTTTCCACTCCGAATGCTACAAATGCTCGTGACTGCAGCGGGTCCTTATCGGGTCGGTTGCTCAACGTGGGGGATGACACGGTTGCCCTCTGGTTTCGTGGCGGAAGGAGACGAATGTGATGATGCAATGCGACGATTATGATGACGTGAAGATTTGCGGTTGCGCGGCGGTGGTTGATGGTTGTTGAGATTCCCCGGTGGGGTTGATGACGAGTGAGCGGCTGCAGCTTGTGCTTTTACGGTGTGGGTTGTTTTGCCGTACACGCACAACCTGCTGGTCCCGCGGACAGGCAGACGGACAGACAGACATTACGTCTGACCCTTCACGCACGACACCACGTCCCTAACACCACCTGAACTCTATAATATGTATATAGACTAGTTGGCTGAGGAATTTAAAGGGTGACATACAGACTGACATACAGACTGACATACAGGCTGATACACAGGCTGACATACAGGCTGATATACAGGCTGACATACAGGCTGATATACGGACTGATCAATTCATGGACTGGCATCCTGGACGATAACTCCATGGGCATCATGCAGGACATGCGGGGGGGTCGGGGGATTGGGAGGGAATAGGGGTAAAAGGGAGCGGCACTTGCTGGATGGGTCATCGAGCTTTGTCCTGGTGTGGCAGGCTTGGCGGGACGTGCTGACCGTGGCTGAGTAGGTTTGCACCTGCCCTTACTCGCTCAACACAACCACATGTGAGCGTATCTGTGTGTGTGGTGCTGGTGCTATTGTTGGGGGTTGTTAATAGGGAGTGTGCGAGTGTGTGGGTTAGCGGTGGATGGGGGAAGAGGAGAGTGAGAGCGAGTGTGAAGGGGGGAGAGGAGAGTGAGAGTGACAGTGAGAGTGGACCAAGGTATGCCGTCTCAGCTAATTGCCCCTTCTCTCCCTCTTTTGTTCTATTTTTCACTGTCTCTGTCCTACGTATACAAACAACCAATCTCACACGTTCTCTGGCGATGGTGGTGATAGTGGTGGTGATAATGGGTGGTAAGACATATGTACGGGAACTACGCTTTGACTCTGTCGGTTTGTGTGCTATATGGGCTACGAACACGACTTATACCAATAATATGGATAATGATACGACTAATGATACGGCGTTTTGACTATCAAGGAGTACAGGTTACTGCACTTGTTTGCTGCTGCTATCGCTGGCTGGTAACGTTGTCGTACCCTTTCGTACTTTCTCTACTTTTTTCTCCGGCTCTATTTGGAATCCGAAAACTGTGGTTCGGTCCCGCCTTTTCCTTTTTCCTGTTGTTCTTCTCTAACTAATATCTGTTCCTTGGGCATGAAGGGCCTGAGCTGAAGGTGTCCCTGAGGGCTCTACGGCACAGGAGGGGGAGCAAAAGTGGGAGGGGCGCCTGCGGCGCCTGCTGCTTTGGGCGCACGGCTGCTGGGGAGGAAAGGGAACTGTCCAAATCCGTCGTGGCTGGGTTCGCAAACTCGTGATTGACTGCGGGCCAGTGTGGAAAGAGAAGGAACGCATGAACCGTGCGTTTGTATGGCGCGCCGTGACTTGAGCATTCTAAACTTACAAGCGCTCTTACAAGTGCCCCGACAAAGGGCAATATGATTGTTGGAGGAATGGCTTCGGGGCCACAAGGGCTGTACGGCAGGGTGGTTGGTTGTTGGCAGCTGCCCATGTTGGAGTTGGCGGTGGCTGGTGTGTAACTAGACCACACGCACGGCATGTTTTTTCTGTGAGTGTGCTTTGAAGTCAATGTGCAGCTCTGAGGGCATTTTCTTTCCCACGCTGGCCTGACACCAAAGCGCAATAATGTGTACTAAACGAGATGGCCTAAAGAGTTTATCGTGGTGTGACTGATGACGGTGGTAGAAGACTCAAATACATACATGCACACTCACAGGTACCCACACTCCCCACCTGACTCCCAATTCGAGCCTCTTTCGCAACACGGGAAGAGACCCGTCGCGTGTCTTCTTTTTGGATCTCCTCCACGCAATGAGGCCTCTCCGTCCATTCCAAGGCACGCGTGCTTGCGACCCCAGGTTGTGCCGCGTCTGCATGTCCTTTCCATTCCGGTTATGTGTGTGTGTGTGTGTGTGTGTGTGTGTGTGTGTGTGTGTGTGTGTGTGTGTGTGTGTGTGTGTGTGTGTGTACCGCACTTGACGGTCAAACCGAAGGAGTTGTATGACCGTACATGTTTACACTTGCATGCGCACGTATGAACGATTGAAAGCCAACGTATGGACGGCAATATTGGGCACTGTTTCAGTTTGTTGGTTTTCCTGTCTGCCTTTCTGTCTACGAGTATTGGACTGCGGTCGGCGTAGTGGTGGTGATGCAGGTCTCCATCACAACCCGAGATTGGGATGGACCAGAGACAGGCCTCACACCCCGAGCCGGCCGGGATGGCGCATAATGTTGGTACTCAGAATTAGGATCTGAATTCGCAGTGCCGCAAATCCAGTTGGTGGATTGCGAATATCCTCTCTGTGTTTGTGTTACACCTCGGTATATCTAGGTGCAACGAGCCCATACGAGCTAGAGGCCCAAGAGCCTAAGAGAATCTAATCGCATTTCGTTTGATACCTGCTGGGTTGACGTTCCCGGACGTGCAGTCTTCCTGGTTTGGTTTCGGCTATTCACACATCGGGTGGCCTGCCTGCACGAACGACCTACTTGCCGTTGTAATTCTTCGCACGCCTTGGGCCATTGTGTGAGGGGTCATGCGGGGTATGACCCTCCTGATTAACATGTAAATATATATAGTGAGGAATGCGAACACGTGTGCACGTGTTTTGCGCTGCAAAACAACGCAAACCTATCTGCAACCACCGCCTAGCGAATCCGAGGATGCGGCCTCGCGCAGGGGCATTTTGTCAGGACGTAAAACATGTTTGCAGACCTTCGCAGGTGCGGCTTTTACTGAGGACCCTTTTCGGTTTCTTTCAATTAGGCGGGGTAAAGCAGGTAAAGCAGGGCGAAGTACATTCTGGAATATGTGCTGGAAAGAGGGACATGCGCAACCCCAAGGCACCCAGTAGGTACTGACGAGGCGAAGAATGTAACGATATCTAAACATGAAACATAGCTTCATGTGAAACCCCACACAAGAGGACGCTCCGAACAACATGAAGGATGGGGTGTCGAGGGCCGTCGCCTGACCACCCTTTGAAGGCAAACCCAGAGTCGCAAAACTCCTCAAGCGCACTCAGAAGTCTACCACCGGTTCCCGAACGGCCTCTCCAACTAGGATGGGTCCCGGAACTCGGGATGCATCCGCTCACGTAGCGGCTGCCATAATCCTGCGGCCAGATACCAAGGTGCTAACAGTGGCCAGGACCGCCGGCAGGTCAGACACCAGCCACACCTGCCTTCGAGTAACCACTGAGACCTAATTAACCTACTACTGACAAACGATCTATTAGTTGCTAGTGCGCAACTGAGCATGCCCAAAATTGATGACGACGGGGTTACGCGTGGACTCGTGACACATGATGGGGGTTAAGCTCCACTTAGGACTACATTTAGCTGGCGGCAAACAGCCTCACTCGTATGGGAGTTTCCCAGCAGGAGAGGAATGCCGTTAACGGTAGGCGCCAGGGGGGTTAGGGTTCATGCGGAGCCAGTGTACGCAGTAATCTGCCCCTCTTAGTAGCGGAGCACCTTCAGACAAAAACCTGCGGCAACTCGGTGAACAGCATAAATTCGCACAGCGTAAATCCGCATTTGGGTCATCCCATAACTACACAGCTACATATAATCCATATCGTAACATTCATGACTGTATAATCCGCAGCCGTAACACGCATCCACAACCCATGCACACACCCACTTCCCCCGTGGTGGCCATCCCCCTACCAAAAAATTCAAAAAATACACATCGAAAAACACGTAACAGCCCACCGGCACCTATGACAATTTGACAAGATGTCAGAAAGAATCCCCCAAAGCCACTCTACTGGAACGTCCATGACCTCAGCAACCCTTTGGGCTTTCTTGCCGGCAGTGCTTGGGGGACCCTCAGCCGCTGCAGGCCCCCTCCTGCAAGGTAAACCCTCTTACCATGTCCCCCAATCGGCCAAACAAGCTCGCTGCCGTGCCGCCTGTCTTGGCGGCGCCAACCGCCACCGCCGCCGCCGCCGCCGCCGCTGCGCTCAGGGGGTGGGGGGCTCAAGGTGTAACCCCCGTCGGAAAACCTAGGCACATCTCCGATTGCCGCGTGCTGCCCATCAGATGAGGATCAGCGACTCCAGTGGGAAGCCGGCCGCATACGTTATGCAGCTTAGGTGTATGATGGCAGTGACAGTGCTAGATGGCACGTATAAAATGAAAACCCAGTTAAACCAAACTCGCTGGTGTGGGGGACCCTACACCGCCGTAATTGCTGCCGTAATTGCTGCCGTACACGCTGCCATAGGAGCCGCTGCACTGTAATTGAACCGGCAGTGACGCCGCGCCACCGTACTCAATAGCAACAAAGCTATACATACCAGCTCCGCCATACCGTTGCCAGGTTGAAAAAGGCGTCGCCACCAGCGACGGCACCGCTGTGCTGTGGCGCGATCGTCCCGGCGGCCGTCCCGGCACGATGCCAAGAAACAATCATCGATGCTGCCATCGGGTCTCAGCCGCTCTGTCCCTCCCAACATCCCAAGATGTCCCCTGGCCGCCCAGCTTCACCAAGACGGGTGTATTGAAACCGACATCGTAAGATCCTAAGATTCCTCAGTCTAACCAGCAGGTTGGGACCTAATGGGACGTCCAGCCGGTACAGGAAGCGCACCATCGCCATGTCATCGCAGCCCATAGCCACCATATAGGCCTCACCGCAAACCTGTAATCCAGCAAAAAAAACAGAGAGGAGGTGCGGCTGTTGTTGAAAGCTTTGCTTAAAAACGAACGGCATCATGATTTTATCCCTCCAAATATGCAATACATCTACCAACACGCTACCATGTACCATGCACCACCATATGCTTGACCCCGGTATTGCATAAGTCGTCAAGCAAGCAAATTACAAAGAGATTAGCACAATCTCAAGTAATCCGTTTTCTGACGGCGGCGTGAATAAAAGCAACGCTGAGCAACGAAGCGCAACAAGCACATACAGGGGCCAGCAGTTCCCAAGCATAACATACTCACCGGAACACGGCAGTCCCGCCCCAAAAGCCATTCCACTGCCTCCTGGCAGCCTGACTTGATAGCATTTTCCAATGCCGGCCGACTTTTCCAGCTCCAACCCCACTCGTGTAGCCAGGTCATCAGTCGTGTGTTACCACTCCTTGCTGCGCTGTTCAGCAGGTCGGCAGTATTGTCCGGGGTGAGACCCAAGGCCTCCACAACCCAGCATACTACGGCTAGCCTGCCATTGATCGCTGCATTTTCAACAGCTTGCCCGTACTGCGCCAACAGGCCAACACTGTGAAGATATTGCAGCACGGCCAGGTGGCCGGATTGGAAGGCTTGTGTGATGCCATAGGCAGTTGGCCTGATGCCCATCTGCGCTACAAGGTACTGCAGTGCGGCCGGGTTGCCAGCAGCTGCTGCTGCATCGGCCACACTCTCATCAAGCGGGTAGTCCCGGCTGCGCAGCCACTGCAGGCGGCCAAGTGCATCGTGCGGGCTGCCAGCAGCGCTCTCGCTTGCTTGAACTGTCGGTTGGCCACCCTGTGCCTCCAGCCACTCCATCTTGGCGAGCCAGTCGGAGGTGGCGCTGCCGGCGGCCGCAGCCAACATACGGTTCAACGTGGTATGTGTGATGGCGTCTGCTACCATCCGCTGCTGCCCCTCAATATCCTCACCTGGCAGAGAATGCTGCTTCAGCCGCTGCAATGCTGCCAGGTCAAAGCCCTCAGCTGCCGCAATAAGCAGGTTTTCGATATCAGAATCTGTAGTGCTGCCCCCACGGCGCAGGAACTCCTCCCACAGCCAGTTCATAAGGCCCTCGTGGCCCCCGCGGGCGGCTCCTTCCACGGCAGACATGCTGGAGAGGGGGCAACCAGCAGCTAGCATCCATTCACACACATGGCGGTGTCCACCCCTCGATGCTGCAGGCAGCGATAAACCCCAGGAACTGGTCTCCTCCTTCAGCAGCTGGCACATCTCCAGTTGGCCCGCGGCTGCGGCTGCCTTGAGCATATCCTCGAGGCCGTCTGCTAGGCCGACGTTGGCACGGGCCACCTTAAGGTTCTCGATAATACCGCTGGCAGCGGTGAGTTCCAGAAGCTTGCGCCGCTCCTGGAGAGTATACCGACGGAAGGCATCGGGGTGGTTCCACTGTTGACGGAAGGCGTAAATCGGAGTTGGCAACGACAGCCGCACGACCTTAAAATTTGTTAGCCACTCCGCTGCCTCCTTGTTCAGGACCCGCAGCGTGCAAGCCGCATCATTGCCCGCATAATGCGCAACCCTTTCGAGAAGGCCTGGAACCCAAATGCAGGGGCAATCTTTTGGTTGAGGCATTAAAGACATTAAGATGTCAGCAAAGCCTGAATCAGACGCTCGTCGCACTTGACTTCCTTGATTTCTTGAACAAGTGCCTGCTAACAAAGTGGGTCCCTAACGCACTTTCATTTGATTTGTGTAACAGCTTTTGCAAAGCTTTTTTCGCTGTTTAGAAGTGTGCTTCGTTGACACTGCGCCGCAATTTAAACAGTAAGTTTACAGGTTTTACAAAGCTCCGCGCAAATTCGGAGCCCTGGGGCCATGGACTATATATTTTGAAAGTTAATTACGCCGTACGAACTGAAAGTCCAAGGCGGTTTTCGATCCTGCCATCTAGATCCCTCCTCATCCAGTCACCCGAACATCCGTAGATTATCAGCAATCCCCTCCACACGATCTTCCGGATCCGCCCTAACCACGTGTTCACACATAAGCGTGGCAATCAAGCAGCAAAATGTGCGTGCCGTTCGTGCTGGACGGCCCGACGGATGGTTTGGGCAAAAACCACAAATGAACACCACCATGCATCTTGCTCCCGACCATCTACTAAACGACAGCGACCAGTAAGCGCATCAGGGTGATCTGGATAACACGCCGCTCAGCCAACGCTGCCTCGCAATGCGGGGTACGAGACCCCATGTACTGTTCGGGGTATACATACCATGCGAACGAGGATGCATGAATGATCATGTCCGCAGGGCAGTCGGTACCTCCTATCACCCGCGGCCGTGTCTGGTATGTGCCCAGGGCCCCCCTTCTCTCTGCACTTAAGGTACGCTTACATGCTGTGCTGGGACCACCATCCCTTCCATTAGCAGTAAATCAATCGCAGCAAAGCGGCTTTGGGCTCAAATACTCGCGATACGCCGGAGAACACATCTCAGCAGCTGGCGAGATCTGATACCCTATGAGACCACCCCCCTCAACACCCCGACCTGGTCGCAGAGAAGGGGTCACAGAAACGACGGGGCTCTGTCCGTACCCAAAGAGACACTGTAAGCAGAACCAATCTATAATGCTCCCGTGGCCGCAGCATTTGTATAAGGGGTGAAACCCCAGACATGTCGCACCATTAAACAGCCTGGCTGGCAGGACACAGGCAACACCTGGGCCCCCGGTATGCCCCTCAGGAAGAGGGACATCTCCCGCGCTAATACGTCCTGCATATTCCAGCTGCACGTGCAGATAATCACGGACACCGAGGAGGGACAGGAAGAGGACATGGGTGCACCCATACATACTTACATACATACGCACTTGCCATACACGGCATACCAGGTCTCCTTTTCGTGGCTCGGTTTTAGGGAGAAGAGCATTGAGGTCCTCATGTAACAGCCCTGCAACCCCTCCCTGCTGCAGGAGCTGCAAAGAGTAATATTGCGGCTGCACGGCGGCAACACTACCTGGCGCGGATGTGCACTGCGGAGCCATGCTGCTGCTGCTGCTGCTGCCGCTGCTACACGCAGATGCGGGGCGTGCGCTTCCTGTGGGCCCTTTCCTTTGGGAGAGCTCAAGGACTGGAACAGCAGGACCACATCGGGCTGATGTAACCCCTCCCAACCTCCACACAACCTCTCGGCAAACACCCCAGTATAAGCACACAACACACACAGCCGCCAAGCCTGGCCGGCAGGCGGACAGGCAGGAGGCAGACAAGAGCCAAACCTGCATCCACTCATTCAATCATCCACCACATCATGTATCTAAGGTAGGGTGCAGCTGTGTCCCAGATGAATCCGTATGCGAGCCCCATGGGCTCACCAACCAACCCTGCATACAACCAAGCATCAGCAACATGATGACCTGTTCATGCGCCAATAATTGCTGGACCCTCCTCTTGCCTTTCCTCCACCTGCATCCCCATCCTCCTCGTCCTCCGGGCAGGCACCCTCTCACGCCAAGCGAGATACCTGCCTCGGCCGCCAGACCACGAAAACCGCACCGGTAGCAGCCGCAGTGACGTTCGTCAGTTGCAGGAGCTGCTGTCATTGCTGCCTCTGCAGCACCGCCTCCCAATCTCTTCCCTTCACCCTTCCGAACCTTCAACTGCAGCTCCCGTTCTTGCAATCAGCACCTCCTCCTCCTCCTCCAACCGCCCATTTCTTATTCTTACCGCCCAGTCCCAAACACGCCAAACGCCTCGCCCCGAAGCCAGGCAAGTGCTTCTCTATCTCCTCCTCCTCCTGCGCTTTTCCTGGCTCTGCCACTTCTCCCCTCGTCCCTTTCATATCGCCAGCGGCAGGAGCAGCAGCAAACGGAACAGGCTAGCTCCCAGCCGCCATGGCCTGATCATATTAAGCCTGTTTAAGATGTTTGGATTTTAATGTGTGTGCACACCCGCGCGTGATTTTACCGCATTAAATTATCCTGGCAAAGCGGCGGTAATCAACCCCATCATACATAAGCCTTTGCCAAAAGCTGCTGGCGGTCAGACAACCCGCCAAACAATAGCATTTCAAAGCGATTTAAAACCAGAATTTGGATATTTAAGTAAAACCACCAACAGCAGCTGCAGTAGAAATTAGTAGCGGCAGCAGCAGCTTGTAGTTTAGGGAAAGCAGGTGCTAAGTGCCGTACAAGAGTATACTCGTACATCCAAGTAGACTGTGCGTATATGCGGACAGCTAGATAGCGTGCAAGGACACACAGAGAGTCGCATGCGGGGATTATTTTTTATCGCTGTTGTTGTATGACGACGGTGACTTCTCATATATAAAAAAAAGTAAAACCATGCGAAATCCTGACAATGCCAAGGTATTTGCCGTATTGTCGTATCCTTAAAATTCCATCGGGTCGTTGTTTGATCGGCGGAAGCTGCTGCTCGAGTTGATCCTGCCCGGTTGACTAAACTCGCCGCTGCGCTGCGACGGCGGCGCCGCCGACCCTGCGCCGCCGTAGTTGCTGCTGTACGCAACGCCACCTCCGCCATACCCGCTGTAGCCGCTGCGCTGTGACTGAACCGCCGGCGATGCTGCGCCACCGTACTCAGCTGCATCAAAGCCAACTCCGCTACGCTGCGAGCGCGCCGACGGTGACGCCAGGCCACCGTAGCCACCGTTAGCGGCACCGCCACCACTTGCGGCGCTAGTGACGCTGCGGTGCGACCGAGACCCAACATCGCCGCTGTTCCCGCCCAGGCGCCGGTTGGCGGAGACAACCGCTGGCGACGCGTTGCCGTACACACCGTACTCGTCCGCGCCACCGGTGGCTTCGTCATCATCCCCACCAATGGCGCCGCTCGCTCGAGGGTGTGACGGCACCGTATTGCCGTACCCACGCAGGTTGGCAAAGTCGGCGCTATGCAGGGACTGTGATGTTGACGCAGCCATGCCGCCATACCCACCACCGCCACCTACGCCGCTGCGCTGCGACTGAGCCGCCGGCGAAGCTGCTCCGTTGCTAAAAGCACTACGGTGCGACTGAGCCGCCGGCGATGCTACACTGCCGTACATGCGGTCTTCCAGTCCGCCGCTAGCGGCCGCACCGCTGCGCTGCGACGCACCAGACACTGACGGTGGTCCTCCCGACACCGGTGCAAAGAAACCGCCCGTCACACCGCCACCGGGCCCCACGTCGCCGCCGCTGCGGTACGACCGACTCGAAGGTGCCGGCGAGGCTACCGCCGCCGGCGTCGCCGCCACCGCCGCCGCTGCCCAGTTGTGACCGGTCAGATCGCTACCGCTGCGACGCTGAGCGCCTGCGGCGGAGGCCGCTGCCGGGCTGAGCATCGCCCAGCCGCCGCTGCCGCCGCCGCCAGCATCGCCGCCGCCGCCCTGACCCTCCACTGAACCCCGGACGCTGCTGGTGGCGGCGGAGCGTGCCGATAAAGGAGGACCGAGAGCAGAAGGAGGCCGCTGGCTGGCCGTCGCCCCTCCGCCTCCCAAATTCAATGACACGGGGACTCCGGTGCGCTGGGAATAGGAGTGGGACTGGGACTCGCCGTCGACGGAGGAGCGGACGCTGGCGCCGCCAGGTATCGGGAGAGGGGCGCCGTGTACGGAAGCGCCGCGATGCGAGAGCGCCCCCGAGGTGGAAAGCGGCGGCGGTCGGGACACGCTGCTCCTGAGGACATACATACATAGATACATACGACATCGGGACAGCGCGACATAGAAGAAACCAAAGAGTGAATAAAGAATCGGTACATAATGGGGCTGAGGGGGGTTAGCGGGTTAAGAGGACCTGCGTGGTGGTGGCCAAAGTCCGGGGACGAGGATTCCCAAACCCCATCCACTCAATCGATCTCCACCCTCCGGGGAGCTCCCCCTGCCTCCTCCCCGCCGAACTTGAATAACGCAACCCCCATCACCCACCCACCCACCTCACCCATACTCAACGCAAACACTCACCCAAATAGACATACATACACATACAGACATACAGACACAGACAGACATGCACGCAAAACACGCCGGGATGCTCACCTGGGCGATGCCACTGACGGAGCCGAGGACCGCAACCCACCACCATTTCCACCGCCCGCCACAGATCCAGGACCCGGAGAAGAGCTAGTACCATTACTGCTACCTCCTGTCGCACCCCCACCACTGGCCCCCGCAGCAGCCGCCACATTCCCGGCGGGGGGCGTGGGGCTGGAGGTCTGCTGTTGTCGCGATGACGAGGGCAGTGAGGCCAGTCTGCCCATGACTCGGGTATCCGCCAGGTAGCCCTTCACCTCATCAATGCGGTGCAGCAGGTCCTGGGCTACCGGGGCCTGGAGCCCCAGATGCCGCTGATAGTACTCCAGGGCCTGCGTGGCGAGTGGGAAGGTAAGGGGGCCGGGTGTGGAAATGGGGCGATGGTGGTGAGGGGTTATTTGTTGTTATCAGCGGTACTGCGGGAAAGGTGGTGAGGGAAACGGGGGTAAGGAGCAAGCAAAGAGGAGGGGGCGCTGGTGGGGAACGGAGGCATAAGAAAAGAGGCCATGTGTTACGAATAGAATGAAGCAAAGGAGGCGAGCGGCAAAACCCAACACCTCCCCAAATAACTTCCGTGACTCCTTCACATATGTAAACACATCGACACAGCTCGGGACAGGGCCTTTGCGAGCTGCAGCAACTTTCACCGCCGTATGCGATTTGAATTGTCGTACCCCAGGACTGTCGTACTGCCGTACCTGGTTAAACATGTGCTGGGCTGTACGGAAGTCGCCGCTGGCAAGCGCCACGTCACCTCGCAGTTTGAGCACCTCCGCCAACTACCGGTGGAAGGGGGTGGTAAATTTGATTGCGTTGGTTACAAGGTCGTTACGGTGGTTGTGGTAGTTGCTGGGATGTGTATTGCGGTCGGTTCGATTGCGGTATGATAGTGGTAGTGGTTTCTATTTGCTCGCCGTGCCGGCGGTACGACTGTAACATGGTAAATGTAGTGGTGATTGTTACGTTCACTATTATCCCCATGTACCCAGCAACATCACCACCACCACAACCACCACCACAACCAAAAATTAGCAACAACTCCTTACCTGCAGTTCCTTGCGCATCGGGTCACTCACAAACAGCTCCGAAACCACACTGGTCAGCTCCTCGTAACAGGCGGTGGCGCCCTCCTGCATGTGTGTGTGCGCGTGTGCACGTACGGCATCATTCAGATTTCAGTGTACCACATGCAGTGCACGACATAACCAATGTAGAGGGCTGCACACATTAGGGTGAGTTGCTGCTGTTATCCTTCAGGTCGTGTTCTGGGTTTTGCTCCGCGTTTCCCATCCTCCGACACTCTGTACACTGCCACGCCCTCCTCCTTTTGCCGCTTTCCTTCCTTTCTCCGGCCGGGCGGAATCAGACCATAGCAGTGATGGCTCCTACAGCAGTCGGTGCTTTAGGTGGATACGGGCATATTTGAACCCCTTTCGATTCTCCTTGCATCATCAGTTGATTTCCCCCCCGCCTCCTTCTCCCCGCCGCTCCCCGGTCTGCAAAACCCGCGTACCCCCCTTCATCTCCCCATTCTTTTCTCCAACCACCCATCTTCAACGCAATGCCCCGGCCTTTTGAGCTCCCCCTCGCCCTCCCCTCTCAGTCATCCCTCCCCAAACACACACACACACACACACACACGTGCGCTCACGTAATCCCTCTTATCCACCAGTAGAGCTCCCTTGTCCTTGAGGGCCTGGATGTGACGAGCAGGGGGCAGCCAACCACCATGGCCGTACTGCGCAAAAACCGACAGGATCTCGTTCACGACACCCAGCCGCTCCGCGTCCTTCCTTTGGAGAGCTATCCGGGCGGGAAAAGAGTAATGGGCGGTGGGGCTCAAGATGAAGGAGGTGTAAGATGAGGGAGGCGTAAGGTGAGGCAGCAGGGCATGGAATTCGGGGTGTGCAGAAGCTGTAGAGCGCGGAAGGGCGGGAAATGCTAGTAGAACGACAAACCTGGGAAGACCCGGGAAAGCAGCTGCGGAGGAAGGGTAAAAGGAGAATAACCGGGGAATGGAATTGGAGCGTCCTTCCCCTCCCCCCCCCTCCCCCTCATTCTTATCCTCCTGTCAAACACCATATACGGACCGAAACACCCCCAAAACCGCGTGCCTGTGTCATAGGCGCCCTTTTCCCATCTTCTTACCGTACGCGGCAGAAATGCCCGCAAAAAAGTCCAGAGACCTCTTCCACAACGCCTGGAAGGTGGGGTGGGATAGCTTGCCCTCGCGACCCACAGAATCCTCCAACCTGAGGATATGGAATAATGGTGGTTGGGAGCCGGGGGAGAGAGACGGGGAGAGAGAGGGGGAAGCAGTGTTGGCAGTAATGGTGTTGGCGGGAAATCTTACGCAAAGAATGGGGAGAGGGGAGCGGAGAGAGGGGGCGAGAGGGAGGAGTGGGGAGTACGGCACCACCATCCAAGTCCAGACGTGACCCAGACGCCCAACAGTACGGCCGTACGGGGTTGGCGAGTTCTCCCCTCTTCTCATTCACCCAACCAGCTAGCCGCCCACCGATGGCTGCGCTACTTACCCCACCCCACCTCACCCCCCAGCACAACAAACATACAATCGCACCTGGAGCCTTCAATGTCAATGACGTGGTTGAGGCAGTACATCGCAGCGTCGTACGACCGCTCGGCCTCGCCCGCCAGTCGTACAACCTCCGCCAAATGGTTGTCCGCCTCGTTTCTGTTGTGGCAATTGGAGATTGGCCAAAAAATGGTTTTATGGCGGGAAAAAGGGTGGATGGATGAAAACGCGGCAACAGGGCCGAGCAGGTGGTGTCATATAATTAGTTGCTCCCCTTCCCATGCGTCCTCAAATTCTAGTAACTTATTGCCTTTGAAAAAACCCAAAGGAACCTAAATTAACTTTTATTTATATTTTATAATTAATAATCATTTAGCAACGAACCTCCCACATCGCGACCGCCTCTAAAGCCCGCTGAAACCCACCTGTATGCCTGCACCTGGCTGCGGTACTTGTCCAGCTGCTCGGGCGAGTAGAAGGCATCCCCCCTCTCTGTACGGCGATCCAATCGGGAAGCAGCTTCCTCGGCACTGCGAAGGGAGGACTTGCGCTCTGTAGAGGGAAGATGAGGTGGAGGGCAGAACAGGGTGGGGGGGGGCCGGATGGGGAACAGAAAGGGAGTTGGGGGGTGGCGAGGTGCTCAGCGAGTTGCAGTTAAATTTCAAGGTCTCTCACCACCCCTTTCCCCCTCCTCCATCCATGTCTCGTTACCCACACAGAAGCCTCACCCGCATGCCGTACCTCTCACTACAACCCTCTCTCAAGCCTTGTTGTACCTGCACTTCCCCTCCTCCCCCTTCCCTGGACTATCCGTTTATCTCTGGCACTTGATTCAATCGTCAGTGGTTTACCTTGCCCAAAACTCCCCCTCCCCTCCGTCCCCTGCCCTCCAAACCCCCCCCGTCCCCTCCGCCCCCTGGGCCCCCCCTCACCCGCTTCTTCCGCGTCCGCCTCCTTCAACTTGCACTCCGCCAGCACCCCGTGGCTCTGAGCCATCAGCGCAACAATGCCCGCGTCCTTGACGGCGTCAATGGTGGAGCGCTGCACTCCCACACCCAGATCATTGTCCTCCACCTCCTCGGAAGTCCAGGCAACCGGCTCCTGGTCACGGGCGGGCAGACGATGGAGACAGAGGGAGGAAGGGGGAGAACGTGTTTGTTTAATATAATCTAGAGCCACGTGCGGTTATGTTTGTGCTTTTGTTGTATGCTATGCTGAGTGTTAATGTGTTGGTGTGTTTGCGGGCCGTGGGGGAGGAAGGCGCGAATGTAACGAAACGGTGCAGAAAGTGCTGCAATCGAACTTGTCCACGCGGTTGCGGTTGTCATGCATTGAGATACGGCGGGAGACAAAACCGCAACCAAATCAAAGAGACACGCAACGCCAAACAGAGACACACACACATACACACACGTACACACACAGGGACTTTAGGTGCCCTCGTTGTATGTAGTCAGTCCTAGCCGCCCACTGCCAAGCCGCAGATCGCCACTGCAGCGCCTCCGCTTATTCATTTATTGCCGCTTATTCACTGACACTACCCTTTAACCCAACATCTACTTTTAAACTCAAGGTACGTCTACAGCCTCACTGAAATTTCTACCACACGTCGCCGTTGGCAATTCGGAAAGCTCGCCTCGGTGGAGTTATTCTCTAAAAAAGATGTTATCACCACCAATCGGCATTTCCCCCATCGCGACTCAGGTCCTTAAAACAGAGACACATACAGACACACACATGTTACTACCTGCGCCCTTCACCTCCCCTCACCCACAGCCCGAGGCCCTTCCTTACCTGCAGCCCGGCCGCCTTCACCAGCAGCGCCAGGGCCTTACGGGCCTGGTTGCAAGCCGCCTCCGGGGGAATACCCGACACGGTCGCGGAGGAGAGAAGTGCCTCCGCACGCATGACCTGAACAAGGCAATAAGGGGCGGGGAGGGGCGGGGAGGGGCCGGGGACAGAGGCGGCGGGGGCTTCAAGGCCTTTTTCGTAGGGAAATCAAATTACACACATACACATTATTACAAGTAAAACCTGAACGATGTGCCTTTCCGAATACTGAGATGTGATGTGTTTGTAAGTAATATGGCGAGGTCTGTGTGTCCATGTGTGTTTACGTGTGGAAAGGATACGGAGAGGCGAGGGTGGGGCGGAGTGGGGCGCAAAATCAACTCAATAGTATGATGAACAAATTTGCGCGGGTCGATTGAATGCGATTCCGAACTATGAAAAAGGAATAGGAACTTCAGTAAAAGGTAAACAATCTAGGATTTCTCTTCACTTGGGTGTTCGGAGTTGTGGGGGGTAGAGAAATGGCGGTAGCTCCGACCCGCAGGGACCTGTGGACCAGGGACCGGCTCAACCCAGTTTCCCATCGCATCTCCCCACACACCCTCTCTGCAAGGAGAAACACCCCCTCGCCGGCCCCCCCCCTACACACACCACCCGAACCGCTCCCCCCCACCTCCCCCCGCCCCACCA